ATGATGATGATGATGATGATGATGATGATGATGATAATGATGATGATGATGATGATGATGATGATGATGATGATGATGATGATGATGATGATGATGATGATGATGATGATGATGATATGATGATGATGATGATGATGATATTGAATGTTAACTGACCTTCTTCCATGGACCCAAGATTCAATCTCAATCTTAAACCGTCAAGTGTCACATACTGAAGCCACCCGAACAAGTGCAGTTTGCGTTGGTCAAAGTGAATTACGCTAAATCCCTTCGCTTGAGTTCTATGAGAACATTACCTCCAAAACATTGGTTATACGATTCATTACCTTCCTGTGATTGAAAAACTGGATATATGACTGGTCGTTTTACTCAACATATATGCGAATCACCTTTCGAGTACGAAAATTCAGCGAAAACGATCCGGCTGCGTCGGGTTGATGAACCCCGAAGTTACATAATATGGTGAACCAGCGGGTGATGTGTGAACGAATGCACACTTGCTGCATGGATAAAAATCGACCAGCCTGCGCTAATCTATGGGTGTAGATTTTACCCCCGAATGTCTAGGAGCTGCTTCCTCAACCTAAAAGTAACCCAGCTCACCATTTACGACCCAATGAAGTGGAATTTGTCTGATTGGTTAACGAATCTTAGTTTATACTGCTTGAAAATTTGCTGTACTAAGCAACCAAAGATCATCGGCCTGATGCAGCCAAGTACATTCCTACCTGCATAAGGTTTTCCGTCCAACCAACCGTTGTGTCGCATTGCAATGATGACACCTGTCAGCAGATAGTACGATATGGAAAACCCTCTCAGCCACCACAAACCTTGAAGGGAACGCGTGGACCTCAGATACCTAGAAACAAACAAGGCATACTATCCAAAAAAAAAACTAATATCTCATGATATGAAACCAATGGGTTTTGAAAACTAACATTACTTGGTTGACAACACGATTAACAAAGGTCTACTTTGATTCTGAATTTCTATAGTCACGAATAGCCATCTCTCTGCATTCTGGTTTGCTCGACTTTACTGGGATGCATAGATCGTCTGACTCGATGTGGAGAGATAAAACTATCTGAAACCTTCAACAAAAAAGGATTGCTTGGGACCATCAGCAAACTGAATTGTACATTGAGAAAATAAACACGAACAACCAGCATCCAAAAATCAATTTAGATTGTTGTAAAAATAATCGAGGAGAATGAGCGTAAAAATGCAAAATAGGAGTGCAGTGTATCGGCGTGAATAGTAGTTTGGAAATTGCTAGATGGAACACAGATGAAGGATGTACACGAAAGACTGATTTCAGACGGCCAAAATGTCTATAATTTTATGGCCTCAGTTTCCTCCAAATTTTCTATTCGTCCGTCCACCATGGGTGCTATCGCGTTCGCACTATGCATTTCATGATTCTCAATCAAAATATGGCGTGCTTTGTTCCAGTAATGTCTGACATCTTTGGTCCCTTGCGACTTGGTCTGACCCAGCAGTTCATCAACTAAGTGGTGTCGCTCGACTATGGAAACAATGCTTTGTCTATGTCTTGTTCGTGCCTTTTCAAACCCTTTGAGCACCTATTGGTAGAAAGAATAAAAAGGAGGCATTATGGACACAAAACCTATGACAAACTTTTCAGTTCCGAAAAACGATTTGGCAGTAGTAAATCTGCAACTATAGTATACCGTTTTCTCAGCCCGATTAAAGGAGGGTAATTTTCTATCACAAATCGGTGCTTCACCCTGTAAGTGAAGTCAGCCAGTGCTGCAGACAGTCGTTTGATACTTGTTGAAGAACGTCAGCAGTAGTGAAACATTAAGATCGCCCAGCCGTTTTGAGAGAAGTAAAATACAGTCATTTGAATATCAATTAGATCTTCATGAGAGACCCAACTAATTTCTCTGACGGCCCTTTTCGAAGAGTTTTCGGCAACCCTGTGATTGGTATATTATGTGCTGGGAGAAGTATAAATACCGTTATTCGTTGAAATCAACCTTCATGGGAAACAAATAACAAATCCTAGACACAGCAGTCAATACTATCACTATTTATCTTGGCATCTTATTTTGGAATTGTGGTGCTAATTCTCAGCAGTGGCCTCCAGCCTTGCGGTTTTTTGTATAAGCCGTCTAGATGTCAGTCTGGCTCCTGAAACATGAAGAGAATATTGGGAATACAAAATTGGTGTTTCGATTAGTGCGAACACCAGCTTCGCCTTGACACAAGCCACCAGTGTAACCTGTGCTCTCTCAGTACTTCACGTCTGCATTTTTGCAAGCGACCTCAGTGGAATCGGTGGATACATGAATCCTCGTTTTTTTACAACCAACCAAGTCTCCAGAGTGGGAGCCAATCAACAAGATGTTTGATCGCATTATTCATGACCAAGCAGTTAGGCCATTCTTCAAAGAACTATGACCGCTGCCGAAAATGCGGAGTAGGTATTGGTGGTCAAGCTCCTCGTGCGACCCGCAAGCAAGATTCGCAATAATCACTGGTCCCCATTCAGGCTGCTCTGCTAGAAGTCTATCAAAAGACGGAAAACTTTGTAAATTCCACAAGAATGTTTCTAAACCGTGTAATGATCCAAACGAGGTGGATATATGTTCTGGGTCTTATTCCCTTTGGCTTAAGAATAACAATATATTGAATTGGTAAGCACTCTGCACCTGTGTTACTCAAGGTCGCGTCTGATCAGACAGACCCGATATACCTAAAAGATGGATGAATACTCTCGAAGAACTCACTGCATATTTCGCCCTTTTTTCGGAGCTCATCAGACCCGGCCCAGCATTTCCGTTAGTCCTATTTCACACTTCAAAGAGAACGTAAACGAGTGGTCCGTTGAGCCTTCAGGCATAAATTTAGACTGCAAATGAGCTTTTATCTCCAGTTTGATTGAGATTGGAGCTCCAAAAAAGGCAAAATTGGTGTTAGGTTGCCACAGGGTCTCCGCCAAACGTATAGGCAGTAAAATTACAAGAAAAAAGTGCTTCAATGTTGTGAATACTTTCTCAAGTGAAGATAAAGCGACCTCTATATAGTATGTTCGGTTGAAGAGGGTTGCCATTTGAGTCTCTCATTAACGTCATTTCAATTGGAAACTGAGTGTTCGAATACACATGTCGGTGTGGGAGGGTACACTGCTGCAAAAGTCAGGAGGTAATCAGTTGAAACGACTCAGGGAAATAAAAAAACTGAGAAATTGCTTGCACCATTGGAGGGAAGCACGGAATTTGTTTAAGACGGTCACCTGCATCTTTTTCACTTCTGCGGAGAGTAGACGAGCAATAATTTTAAGACGATTCCAATGAATATTGAAGTTGTTCGATGCTACCACTATCAGTATTGACAAAATAACGAAAGAATAACATTGATGTTTTATGACCGCGTAGCCCTCTGTCAACTTGAAACTCCATTCACCATCAACGTCGCGACCTTTACTGTGGTATGTAAAGCACAACAAAAATTAACTTGACGACACCGTACAAGCAATCAACTATGCGTTATGATTCTTCGTTCTAAAAAGTTCACAACATACAAACTTCAATCGGACCTTAATCAATCCGCATAAATTTTACTTGATTTACGACAATCAGAATTACTTCGTGTAATTATTCCGATGCCTAATTTGCCTTATTAGATCCCACCGGCTTGACACAGCGTCAGATGACGAGCAAATCAAAACTATCACAGTGGAATCGTAAGTCTAGAACCTGCATTAAACTTATTGATCATACCAACAAATTCTTCATGAAGGCTTGGTGGTGTATAAGTGAGAATCTCAAGGTTACTATTGGTCCCAAGATCAAATTTGACTGCTTGTCATTTGTCTTAAACCCTGCCCGAGCATGACGTTTCAGAGAGTCCAGAAGACGTCTGCGACTTTCGAAAGCTAGCACCACTAACTGAATGGTCGCTCCAGAGAGATTACGTTGTTTCTGTAGTCCTGATAGCGTGAGCTTGCACGAACCTGGACCGTGCGATTTTTTCTCGTGACGGTCGGCAAGCCACCTTAACTCCCAAGGCAGGCCTTGAGTAGCCCAAAAGTGCACACTGGAACATTCTTAGTGAGGCCTCAAGCTTATTCATTATTTTCATCAGTATCCATTATTACTATCATTCATTATTTATTGTTTATTCCCTTATTCATACGGTGTGTAGTTTAAAGCACTGGTTGCGTATGATTTCTATATGGTCTATTGGTCACACATTATTAAGGGTGAATGCGTTCAAAAACATAAAAAAACCTGGCCAATGTAATGTTCAGCATATAAGACCTCCCATACTATGCATTTTTACTGACTAATGAAAGTTCCATCGAGTGTTCCTATTAGAGGAGGCCGCTATAGGCGAGGGAGCGTTGTAACCATATAGCCAACAAGTGCCGTTAGGAACAATCCTCATCGGGTAAACAGAATCACTCACCTGAATGGTTCTGAAATAGTTCTGGATCAACGTGCTTAAGATTGGCCCATCTTCGTCATCCACCAAAACCGGACACTCCCTGAGCATATCATAACCGTCCCTTCCATTAGCCATATAGTGCTTCACGCATAACTTGTGTTTCGCTTTCAAGTTCAAAGGTTTGTTTTGAATAGTGACACTGGATAAAGGTATGCGACTGCCTGGAGGCTTCCTTGGATCGAAGGCAAAACGGACGCCAGAAACAATGGGGAAGCGGCCTAACAATGAAGGATAAATAAAACACATGACCCTAGGAACCATAAATTCAAACTGGAAAAATAAATAAATAGACAAAGCTGGCAAGCAAGTTGTTAGGCAGGAATCCACGCGGATCCCACTATACCGCACGTCTTTAGGCGCTGCTACGGCCGAGAAGCCTGGCCCGCTCGAGGCTGGCCCAGAATTCGGGACGCTTGCCGGTCCGGCATCAAGACGAGATCTGATTGGTCAACAATCTGGACCCAACAGCCAATCATGACCTAGTATTGGCCAAATGCTGGTTGCCAATGGCACATCCAGAACACGTCAGAAATTCCACAAAGGTATAACCGCTTACGCTATATATACGAAGCGCTGTACAACTGTTCTTGACTTCGTTTTGGGCGTTAATAGACCTTGTGCACCTTTGGTGGTTGTTTTGACGTGAACGCTAGCTTGGGAGGCTCAGACCGAGAACTAAGCTGAGGAAAATACAGTTACAACAATTGGCGAACGGGAACCCACGATGTCAATCGAATTTGATCAGCTCCGAGAATTATTGCAGCAGCAACAAAAGCAGTTTGAAGAAGCGCAACTGAAGCTCATTGAATCACTGACTCAGAAACTGCATATCCAGACAGCAGCAGTCAGTACTGGTGAGTCTTCTGTTTCCTCAACTGATGCAGCCGCGGCCTCAATTACGGAGTTCACATTTGACGCTCTTTCTGGTCACACTTTTGACTCCTGGTTCAAGCGGTACGAAGACATGTTCAAAACTGATTTTTCCAAATTTGACGATGGATGGAAAGTCAGACTATTGCTGCGAAAACTCGGCACACCGGAGCATGAACGGTTCACAAATTTCATTCTCCCCAAGCTGCCCCGCGACCTCAGCTTTGATGAAACGGTCAGAACACTGTCCCAGATATTCGGCGATCAAACATCACTGTTCAATATCCGCTACCAATGCCTTAAGTTGGCCAAGAAAGATGATGATGATTTCATCACGTTTGCCGGTGTTGTCAATCGAGAATGCGAGCGCTTCAAGCTCAGCTCAATGACGGAGAATCAGTTTAAGTGCCTCATTTTTGTATCCGGTCTCCAGTCATCCCATGATGCTGACATCAGAACCCGGCTTCTTAACAGAATTGAACAGGATGCCGAAATGACGTTGCAGAGCCTCACCACTGAATGCCAACGCCTCATCAACCTGAAGCACGACACGGCTATGATCGGTCAGTCACCTGTGACCTCAAGCAGCTGTGTACAGGCAATCAACTACAGCGTGCCCAGGAAATCCGACAAGAAGCCCGATCGAAGACAGGGTAAGCCTCCCACGAGTTGCTGGCATTGCGGTGAGTGGCATTTTGCTCGTTATTGCCGGTTCAGGCGTCACAAATGTTCCAGGTGCAGTCGTCGCGGCCACAAAGAAGATTTGTGTCGATCTCAAAGATTGCAGCCACCCGCACACCACCGTGCAGCCCACAAATCGCGGTCCAACTCGGTGACGGCAACATTCAAAGTTGATTTTGCTTGCCGAAGGAAGTTCGTGACGGTTCGTATCAACGACATCCCAGTTCGGTTGCAACTTGATACTGGCTCCGATATCACGCTGCTCAGTGAACGAACGTGGAAGCGAATCGGTAAGCCATATGTGAAGCCGACTGATCACTGGGCCCGTAATGCTTCCGGTGGCAAACTGAAGTTGACTGGCGAAGTGGACTGCCTCATTAACTTCAAGGACTCGACGGCACAAGCCACCTGCTACCTGACGTCATGCCCCAAACTTGATCTCATGGGGCTAGATTGGATCGAAAAGCTAAACCTGCTGGATAAACCAATCAACTCTATTTGCAACGGCATACACGCAGCACCCGGACAAATTGACTTGCCGAAGCGTTCACTTGAGCACCTCCTACAACGTTATGCGTCTGTATTCACTGACGAACTTGGACGGTGTACAAAAGCAAAAGCCAGACTGTGCCTCCTCCCTGGTGCCAAGCCAGTCTTCAGGCCAAAACGTCCAGTGCCTTACGCAGCCTTGCCTATCGTCGACCAAGAACTGGACCGACTTCAGAAGGCGGGTGTTCTCCAAGCGACCAACTACTCGGCTTGGGCCGCACCTATTGTGTTGGTAAAGAAGGCTAACGGGACGATCCGGTTGTGCGCAGATTTCTCCACCGGTCTCAACGCGGCACTGGATACCCATCAATACCCTCTGCCTCTCCCAGACGACTTGTTCGCGAAACTGAATGGGGGTAAATGTTTCGCAAAGATTGACTTGGCCGATGCGTATCTCCAGGTTGAAGTGGAGGAAGAATCCCGAGAACTGCTCACGATCAATACGCATCGAGGTCTGTTCCAGTACACTCGACTGCCATTTGGTGTCAAAGTAGCGCCGGCCATATTTCAACAGATTATGGATACGATGCTGAAGGATGCACCAGGCGTTGCCGCCTATTTGGATGACCTCATTGTCATGGGTTCCAATCCCCACGAACTGTGGCAGCGCCTTGATTACGTGCTTAGTCGTATTCAAGAATATGGCTTCAAAGTGCGCCGAGAGAAATGCACATTTTTCATGCGGTCGATAAAGTACCTGGGGTTCATTATTGACGAACATGGCCGCCGTCCAGACCCGGAGAACATTGAAGCGATCAGACGTATGCCAGCACCCACAGACGTGGCGTCCCTCAGGTCTTTCCTCGGTCTCGTCAGTCACTACAGTTCGTTCCTGCCTGCCATGCATCGCCTTCGAGGCCCACTAAATCAGCTACTTACCAAGGACCACAAGTGGACATGGTCAGAAGAATGTCAACGCGCCTTTGACTCTGTCAAATCCATGCTAAGTTCCGATTTGCTACTCACACACTACGATCCATCGATGGAAATTGTTGTGGCGTCGGACGCCTCGAACTATGGAATTGGCGCAGTGATTTCACACGTATTTCCAGATAGCAGCCAGAAAGCCATTGCACATGCGGCCAGATCCCTGACTTCAGCCGAGCGCAACTACAGTCAGATAGAAAAGGAAGCCTTGGCGATCGTGTTTGCCGTTAAGAAGTTTCATAAAATGCTTTACGGCCGTCAATTCACCCTACTGACCGATCACAAGCCACTTCTTGCTGTGTTTGGCTCGAAGAAAGGAATTCCGGCATATACTGCCAACCGGCTCCAGCGATGGGCCACTCTGCTTCTGGGGTACGACTTCAAGATAAAATACCAGTCCACTACCAGCCTGGGACAAGCCGACGCACTGTCCCGACTCATTGATTCAAGCAGGCCAGAACCAGAAGATACCGTGATCGCAACAATTGCCTTGGAACCAGAGGTTAACCACGTAGTTTCCGAAGCTGTTCGCATCCTCCCAGTGACTGCCGACATGGTCCGCCAGGCTACCGATCAAGACCCTGTGCTGCAGCAAGTCATAAAGTACCATCGCAATCAGTGGCCGCGTACCTGCCAAAAAGACGAACTAAGGCCTTACTTCAACCGGCGTGACGCATTATCACTAGCCGATGGATGCCTGTTGTTTTCAGAACGTGTGGTCATCCCAAAGAAGTTACAACCAGCCGTCCTGAATCAGTTCCATAAAGGGCACCCGGGAACAAACAGGATGAAGGCCCTTGCTCGGAGTTATGTCTACTGGCCTTTGATGGACTCCCAGATCGAGCAAGTCTCGAAATCTTGCCTGCGGTGCGCTGAAGCATCCAAGTCACCGGTGAAAACCTACCTAAGCTCGTGGCCGCAACCGACCGAACCCTGGTCTCGTCTTCACATCGATTATGCAGGTCCAGTGGGTGGCCAACACTTTTTGGTCGTGGTCGACGCTTACAGTAAGTGGCCGGAAATCTTTCCGGTGAACAGCCCCACAACTGCCATTACAGTCCTGGAACTCCGGCGATTGTTCAGTCGGTTTGGAACGCCAGAGACAATTGTATCCGACAACGGCAGTCAGTTTACGTCGTCGGCGTTCGCACACTTTTGTCGGGAGTATGGCATAACGCATATTCGCTCGCCGCCGTTTCATCCACAGTCGAACGGCCAAGCGGAACGCTTTGTTGACACTCTCAAGCGGGCACTTCAGAAGTCCAGGGGGGAGGGACCAACGGAAGAGATTTTGCAAAGGTTCCTGCTAGCATATCGAGCGACGCCAAACCCCAACTCACCTGATGGAGTATCACCAGCAGAGGCACTGCTCCGAAGGAGGTTCCGAATACCGCATGACACTATCCGGCCCCAAACAAAGCAGACTGGTCACCGCAACACCAGAATGGAGGAACAGTTCAACCGGCATCATGGAGTAACTGCGCGCGCATTCAGCGAAGGTCAGAGAGTGTTGGTTCGTGACTACAGCGGTAGACGCCCTACGTGAACCCCAGGGCTCATCCTTCGCCGGCGCGGCAAAGTGCTCTACGAGATTCAAGTTGGTTCAGTCAAGTGGATACGCCACGCGAACCAAATCCGGCCGACAGATGCGCCGATCCTGCCTACAGGACCGAGTGATATGAGTCTAGAAATGCTTCTGGACACTTTTGATCTCGGCACCCTCCCAGAAAGTCAATCAGTTACTTCGTCAGAGGCCCAGCCTGAGCACGGATTACAACCGCGACGCTGGACAGACAGAATCCGCAAGCAAGTGAGGCCACTGCAAGTGAACCCCGGCTTTGAAGCTACGTCAACAAACTTCAAGGGGGAGGTGTTAGGCAGGAATCCACGTGGATCCCACTATACCGCACGTCTTTAGGCGCTGCTACGGCCGAGAAGCCTGGCCCGCTCGAGGCTGGCCCAGAATTCGGGACGCTTGCCGGTCCGGCATCAAGACGAGATCTGATTGGTCAACAATCTGGACCCAACAGCCAATCATGACCTAGTATTGGCCAAATGCCGGTTGCCAATGGCACATCCAGAACACGTCAGAAATTCCACAAAGGTATAACCGCTTACGCTATATATACGAAGCGCTGTACAACTGTTCTTGACTTCGTTTTGGGCGTTAATAGACCTTGTGCACCTTTGGTGGTTGTTTTGACGTGAACGCTAGCTTGGGAGGCTCGAGAAGAGAACTAAGCTGAGGAAAATACCGTTACTACACAAGCAGACCGGCTTTCTGTGGCACTTCAGCAGGTATTATACTCATATTTTGCCAGTAGCTGAGGAAAATACCGTTACTACACAAGCAGACCGGCTTTCTGTGGCACTTCAGCAGGTATTATACTCATAACAAATTTTGCCAGTATTAAAATTACGTTAACCGATATTGTGTGGAAAAACCAGCTCTCCCAACAGTCCTCAAGCCCGAATATTCCTTTATTTCAAACATGTCAAACTTAAATGAAATTTATATCTGTAATGCACTACTCGTAACGTTTCTAAGATTCGCCGACAGCCCAGCAACCTTGTGACTAATGCATTACAAATATACATGCATCGCAATATCTCGAGGCGGCCTGGCGCAGCACATTATGTTGCTTGGAAACATCACAAACGAGAGATTCAGCTAGATTCCAGGTGAGTCTCTCGAGAAACAAAGTTAGTTTGCGAATGAGTGCATTTCGAAAATTTATATTCATGTACATCCGACTACGTGTAGCACTGTCAGCTGCGGAGGACATATCGACAGACAGATGTTTCTTTAAGTCAACAATCTGCAACCTTTATTGAAAAGGTCACATGGTCAGTCAGAGGTAGACGTACTTGGTATATGTTATTTTATGTATACGTTTGTATGTTACTTGGTATGTTACTTGGTATATGTAAGTCTTAAATGGCTGAGCCTTCCGAGAACTCACTAGATGACAAGAGGAAGGGTTTTGAAAACAGTTGTTGTCATGCTTTAATTATTTCTCCATCTTTTTCTCCGTATGTTTTAAATTACGTTACTGAGAATGGTAACTATTACAAGCGCTTTTTCCAGTAAAGTAGATTGCTCCATTGGTTCAGTACCAAAGTAGAATTACAAACACTTTCTTCGTCGAATGACATATGGTGTGGCTGAATTCGCCTTGGAAATCGCGTAATTTCTCTCGCATTTAGTGTGCGTACCGTGTGAAATGCTACACTCCGTTGCTTCGTATTACACCACTCTGGGCCCAAAGCTTGAACAAAATATCCAAGGTCGTTTACACTTCGCAAAGAGCGAGGCGCATGACTTGTGTAAACGGTGTCCGAAAAGTGGTCTTCCTAAAGGAAATTTTCTATAGCCAGAAGCAGTAAATTCCGTTCACTTAATATTTCAGCAACAAAGGATTAATACCTATCTTTCACCTGTTCCTGTTAATTTACCAGGTTATTTTACGCAACATATCCCATCTTACCAATTTTCCTTTCCCATAAAGTCTCACCCAGCGGTGACGAACGAGGCAGTAGATGTGGTGGTTTCGCTATCACTGAAAACTCTAATAGCTATGCTGGAAGTTTGACGTTCACTTTGTTGTTGGACATGAGAAAGACGGTGTGATCACAGCAGCCCTGATCAGTCTAACCAAAAAAGAAACAGCAACAGACATCTACACCTCTAGATGTTATGGGTGCAAGAAACCTTCACTAGAAACACTGTAATCACCACAGAGGATGACAGCTGAGAGCTAAGGGACAACCACTGATTTCCAATGCAGTTCTGACTGCTCAAGGATAATAAATGTCTTAAAAACTGTCTTAAGACTTCGTTCCAAGGTTAGCTAATAGATTCCGCTTTTATTTTGGGCAATCGACGTTACTTGTGTCCCACTGGGCGGCCACTTAGTCATAGAATAAAATATGCGTTGTACGATACCCTATCCTTCACGCCTGTCGATCAGCCACCATAGCTGGACAGTAGGTTGCTCACAAATTATCCTAAGGCTGGCGGGTTCGCGTGTCTCTTTTACCGCAGTGCTTCTCAGTTTTTCAACGAAAATTTATTTAATTTGCAGCTCGTCCCTTAGAAATTATTGGCAGATTATCTAAAAGCGCTCCGAGTTATCACTGCGAGATTTGTGAGATTTGAGATCTGTATCAAATCTGAGCAATTACGAAAAAGCAAACACTCAGCCCTGTGTGCTAAATCGCACCCGAAACGATCACTCTTCGAGTCGCATGTAAATACAATGATGTCCAATAGCAAAGTTGATTATGGTATAGCCATTTAAGCCATTTTCACCTGATAAAGGTTTAAATGTAGGCTACTGCTAATTTCAAAAAGCAAGACGAAGAACTCGTAGGAGCAAGGCTCTTAGGAAATCAAACTGTATCGTTGAGACTACTCTCACGGCAACGAACTCAATGAACTAGAGTACAATGGAAGATAATGAGTTGCACCGTGTTCGTTGGCACGCAAACTTCGTGTCACCACACCGTGATTCGTGGCTAAGCAAAGCATAACCACGTACCGTACAGTTCGATTCGGGGTAAAAACCATTAAAAAAAACTATAAAAAGATGTTGTCTATGAGACACCGAGTTCTATCACCGACGTCAAATTATAAACCGGTAACGTTGGACATTAATTCTAAATTCACATACGACAGTTTAAAATCCGAGCTTGGCTCTGCATTGTTAGTTTCCAAGTCCATTTTCGTGCTACGGATGCTCGTAGTACATCCTCATGCTTGCAGATAAGCCAATCAACGTGGAAGATAAATTTGTTTACAGCTCTGCAATTTTATTTCACACAAAAAACATGTAAAACGGCCGTGCGCCGAAGCAATTAAGATCAACAGACCACCTAACTGTACCAGCCGTAGCGATGGGGCCAGCATCCATTCTATCTGGCTCGGATTTACTGCACACCTTAGTAGGCATCGTAGCCAGATGCCAAGCAGGCATCTCAATAATGACGGACCACAGCCACAACAGCAAGAGATTAGACATCCTAATCGAGGTGCAGCCAACCACTCGTTCACATAGCTAACAAATACATACACGCTGGTCGAATCTGACTGCCAAATGACTTCAGGAACACATCAGTCAGAAAAGATGGACCCAAATGACGCTGCACCTGGGTCGTATTCACTTGCTTGTAGAAATCCTGCGAAGAATTCGCCAACTTACTAAAGGCCGGTGGGTGTTGAAAGATCTAGAAGTGGGTATTAACCAAGTGATGCTCCTGAAGAATTCTCGGGAAGTTTTATCGCTTTATCTGATTTTAATCATGTTACGCTACCAACAGCATATGGAGCCTTAGATAGGCACTTCATCTTCGGTTTTTCAGGTAAAGAACTTGGAAAGTAACCAAATGCCTGATGGCCTATGACCCATATATGTGTTATTGCAGCTGCTACCAGACTTATATGGTAGGATCTTTGGATAGGTGTTAAGAGTGACAAGCACCAATTTCTTCTGTCAGTTCCGTACGAAGCGCATACATGGCACAGGACTCTGTTGCCGCCATGGTGATGATGATGATGATTGATGATGACGATGATGATTGATGATGATGATGATTGATGATGATGATGATGATGATGATGATGATTGA